AGAATACTAATTATATTTTCTCATCTCCCTTTCCCCCTTTCCCTCTTCTCCCTCTTCCCCTTCCCCCTTCCCCTTTGTCTTTCCCCCTTCCCCTTCCTCCCCCTCTTCTCCCTTCCCCTTCCCCCTTTCCCTCTTCCCCTTCCCCTTCCTCCTCCCTCATCTCCCTCCCCCTTTCCCCTCTTCCTCCCCTCCCTTCCCCCCCTTCCCCCCCTTCCCTTCCCCTCCCCCAGATGCCTGACCTACACCTCGATCGGCGAGCGCGCGGGCGAGGATGCCCTGGGCGCCTTCTTCGAGGTCGTGGAGTGGACGCGGACGCAGGCGGGGACCTCCGTCGTCTTCGCCAGCAGGAGCTACGGCGACGGCACGCAGGTCTTCAAGCAGAGTTCCCGATGGACTCAAAGGTAGGGAGGGGAGGGACGGGAGAGGTTCCAGGGAGGGGGGGGTGGGGAGGGGGAGAGGTTCTAGGAGGGGAGGGGTGGGGAGAGGGAGGTTCTAAGGAGGGAGGGGTGGAGAGGGAGAGGTTCTAGGGAGGGATGGGGGGGAGAGGGAGGAGTGGAAGGGGTTGGGTGGGGAGGAGAGAGGTTCCAGGGAGGGATGGGGAGGAAGGAGAGGTTCTCGGGAGGGAAGAGGGGGGAGGAGTGGAAGGGGGAGGGGAGGGGGGAGAGGTTTCCAGGGAGGGAAGGGGGAGGGAGGAGTGGAAGGGGAGGGAGGGGAGAGAGGTTCCAGGGAGGGAGAGGGAGAGAGGAGTGAAGGGGAGGAGGGGAGGAGGAGGTGGGATCGAGGAACCAGGAGGCGAGGGAAGAAAGGTGGGAGGGCGAGGTTCCAGGAAGGAGGGGAGGGAGGGAAGGAAGGGAGGAGAGGAAAGAGGGAGGAGAGGACGAAGACCAGGGAGGGAGGGGAGGAGGGAAGGGGAGGCGAGGGAAGGGGAGAGGAGAGGAGAAGGTGGGAGGCGAGATTCCAGGGAGGAGGGAAGAAGGGGAGGAGAGGAAAGAGAGGGAGGGAGAGAGGGTCGAAGTACAGGAGGGGAGGGAAGGAGGAGAGGAGGGAGAGGTTGGGAGGGCGAGATTCCAGGGAGGGAGGGAAGGAAGGGAGGAGGAAAGGGGGAGGAGAGGATCTCCAGGAGGGGAGGGGGAGGAAGGGGAGGGAGGGAAGGAGGAGAGGAGAGGAGAGGTGGGAGGCGAGATTCCAGGAGGGAGGAAGGAAGGGAGGAGAGGAGAGAGGGAGGAGAGGAGTGGTCGAAGTACCAGGAGGGGAGGGAGGAGAGGGAAGGGAGGGAGGAAGGAGGAGAGGAGAGGAGAGGTGGGAGGGCGAGATTCCAGGGAGGGAGGAAGGAAGGGGAGGAGAGAAAGAGAGGGAGGAGAGGAGGGGGTCGAAGTACCAGGGAGGGGAGGGAAGGAGGAGAGGAGAGGAGAGGTTGGAGGGCGAGATTCCAGGGAGGGAGGGAAGGAAGGGGAGGAGAGGAAAGAGAGGGAGGAGAGGAGTTGGTCGAGTACCAGGGAGGGGAGGGAGGAAAGGAAGGGAGGGGAGGATGGAGGAGAGGAGAGGGGAGGTGGAGGGCGAGATTCCAGGGAGGGAGGGGAGGGAGGGAAGGAAGGGAGAGAGGAAAGAGAGGGAGGAGAGGAGGGGTCGAAGTACCAGGAGGGAGGAGGGAGGGGACGGAAGGAAGCGGAGAGAGAGTTCCAGGGAGGAGGGGAGGGGGGAAGAGAGGAAGTGAGGGGAGGGAAGAGAGGTACCAGGGAGGGAAGGAGGGCGAAATATGGCGACGGCTAAACGGATTGATTGGATGTGTGAGTGTGTGATATCAGATGCATTGAAAGGTTATCTGAGACTTGCCAGATCTGGATCCTGAGAGTAAATATAAACTAATTATCTTCCCTTTCCAGAGCATGATTTTCTATGGTGATTTAGTACATATAGTGATAAAAGGAATATCTGATTTTCACAACGATAATGAAAGATCAGACAAAAAAATAACCAAACCTCACGATAAAACAAAATGTAAAAAAATCATTTACAGCAACGAAGATAGAAAAAATAAAAGAAGCATCCCCCAAAAAAAAAATAATAATAAAATAAATAAAAAAAAGATAGATAAAAGAAAAAAAAACTTAAAAAAAAACGTATAACGAAGATAGAAAATAATCCAAACCATTACAAAAAAAAAAAAAAAAAAAAAAAAAGCTCTCTACACCCACAAACCTCCTCCGTCCCTCCTCCGCCAGGCACCAGCACGGGCGACAAGGGCCTCGTCAGCACCGCCTTCCCCCGCGTGGCCTTCCCCTCCGACCCCGCCCTCCGCTTCGTGACTCCTGGCGGCTACATGGTCGGCTGGACGCTGTTGTCCCACGGCAGGTCGGGCGGCAGAGTCCTGGGGGTTGAGGGCGTGGGCGGCAGAGTCCTGGGGGTTGAGGGCGTGGGCGGCAGAGTCCTGGGTTGAGGCGTGGGCGGCAGAGGGCGGCGTGGGCGGCGTCGTTATGCGCGTGGGTGTGTGGCTGGAATGAATGTCAAGTGCATTATGTGTAATTAGTGGTAGATGTTCAGGGATACGGGTATGCGTGCATGGATGCTTGCGGGCGTGCTTGGGTGCCTGAATGCATCTATGTATGCTTCTTGATCGGTATGCATCCTGTGTATGTATGTATGTATGGTATATATATATTTATGTATATATGATATATATATATATATTGTATGCATATATATACATATATATATATATATATATTATATATTATATATATATATATTATATATATATATATATATATATATATATTATGTATACGTATATATAATATATATATATATATATATATATATATATATATATATATATATATATATATATATGCATATATACATACATACATATATATATATATATATATATATATATATATATAATATAATGTATATGTATATATATGCATGTATATGTGTATGTGTGTGTGTGTGTGTGTATACGTGCTCTGTTAAAATACACACACGTATACACATACAAAGACACGCATTCCCAAGCACAAAGGCAGCGCCGCACGGCCCGCCGGCACGAACCCAGAGACTCGAAGGCGTGGTTCGCAGGATGCCTTTCTCGAGCGCGAATCTCCAAGCAGGACAATTGCTTCGCAGATTCGGTCTGTTCACACCCTGTCCGTCGCTTTTGCTTCATTCTTGTTCTTCTCGCTTGTCGAGGCTGAAATCACAGTGACATGAGAAAAGATAAGATTGTCTTGTTTTGTTTGTATTACTGTTTTTACGCGTTTCTGTTATTTTTCTCTTTTTTATTTCATCATTAAAAAAATCACGTTGCCGTGTATTTGTGTATAGTTGCCGTGCATGTATGTATATATGTACGTATGTGTATGCATATGTGTACATAGATATATACGTACATCTATAAATGTGTGAGCGTATGTGTGAGCGTGCGTGCGTGTGTATTTGCGTATGTATTCAAGTACAAGATCTATGAAGAAGATCTATGATGATGACAACATTTCTCGTAGATGCTTCTTTTCTTTTATTCTGCCTCATTTTGAATATTGTTCTCCTGGGCGGTTATCTGCTGCAGACTCACACTTAAGACTGCTTGATCGTTCTTTTAATTCTATTAAATTTCTCCTGTCTGACTTAAATTTGGTCACTGGACATCGCAGGGTCATTGGGGCTCTTTCAGTCTTATACAAGATTGTAACCGATAATTCACATTCCTCTATATTTTTACCTGATTTTTTATCAACCTGCAAGAATTACCAGAAGTTCTATGACCCTCAATTCAATGACATTTGATGTAAGTCGATCGTCTATAAGTCAGTTTTCTAAATGTTTTTTTTTACTGCTTTTTATAGGCTTCGGAATAGATTGCCTTCTCAGATTGTAACTTCTCCGACTCCTGATGAGTTTAAAAGATCAGTTAACATGTTTCTCTTACGTAAATAGCTGGCTTTCTGTTCTTTCTTTCTAAGCTGTGTCTTGACCTTCACTGACACCTTTGGTAGTATAAATCTCGATTTTTTCAGTGTGGCTCTTTATATAACTTACAATAATGATAATAATGATAATAATAATAATAATAATGATAATAATAATAATGATAATAATAATAATAATAATAATAATAATAAAAAATAAAAGTAATGATATGATAATAATAATAATAAAAAAGATAATGATAATAATAATAATTCATACACGCATGCCCACACGAATCCCCCAGTACCCCCTCTTCCTCCCCCCTGCCCCCCCAGCACGCAGTCGGACCTGGCTCGATTCCGCGACGGCGAGGACGGCGGGGTGGTCGTGCTGTTCCGCCCGACGGAGAACAACCTGACGGAGAGCGTGGTCATGTCGGCCCTCTCGAACGCCATGGCCGCGAGCGTGAGTCTGGACCCTGGGGCTTCGAGGCTGAACTGGGGGGTGCAGGGGCTCGCCGAGGAACTACCCCGGGCTTCTCCCTCGAGGTCGTCCTCCACCCGCACTCCCGGTCCGTCGTCAGGAATATCTGTGTGAGTTTTTTTTTTGGTTTTTTTTTTTTGTTGTGTTTTTTTTTTTTTTTTTTTAGGAGGTAGTTCTTTCTTTTTTTTTTTACTTCTCTCTCTCTCTCTCTCTCTCTCTCTCTCTCTCTCTCTCTCTCTCTCTCTCTCTCTCTCTCTCTCTCTCTCTCTCTCTCTTCTCACTCTTCCCACTCTTTCCCACTCTCACTCTCTCACCCTCCCTCCTCCTCTTTTCCTTCTTTCTTCTGTACTCCCTCCCTCTCCTCTCTTCCCTTCTCTCTCTCTCTAACTTCTCCCTCGCGCGCTCTCCCTAACTCCTTTCTCCTTCTCTCTTCCTCTCTTTTTCTCTCGAACTTCTCCTTCCTCCCTCCTCTCCCACTCCCTTTCTCTCTAACTCCCTCTTCCTCTCTACTTTCCTTCCTCTCCCCTCTCTCTTCTCTCTCCTCCCTCTCTCTCTCCCACTCCCTTTCTCTCTAACTTCTCCCTCCCTCCCTCTCCCACTCCCTTTCTCTCTAACTTTCCCTCTCTCCTCCTCTTCTCTTATAACTTTCCCTCCCTTTCCTTCTCCCTCCCTTTCTCTCCTCCCCCCCTCCCCTCCCTTTCTCTCTAAACTCCCCTCCACTCCCTCTTCTCTCTAACTTCTCCTCCTCTCGTCTCCCTTCTTCTCTCTAAACTTCTCCCTTCCCTCCCTCCTCCCTTCCCTCCCTTCTCTCAACTCTCCTCCCTTCCCTCCCCTTTTTTCCTTTCTCTAACTTCTCCCTCCCTCCCTCCCTCTCCCACTCCCTTTCTCTCTAACTTCTCCCTCATTGTCTGCTCCTCTTCTCTCTAACTTCTCCCTCTCTGTCTGTCCCTCTTCTCCCAGCTCCTCCACAGATCTCACTTGGCAGAGCCCCCTACTCTGCGTGTGGTCTGACCCCTTGTCGTAATTTCTAACACATGTTTATCCGTCTCTTTTCCTTTAATATCTCTCGTCATACTACACTTTCTGTGAAATACTGATTAATGTTTCGTGTTTTGATAATCATGCTAGTTTTAAATGTCATCGAGAAAGTCATCATGTATTTTTTTTCGATTATTAATTCGTCGTGTGGGAGAGACATTATACTTAGCAGTTCAAGTGTTTTTTTTCTTGTAGTAAAGTGTTGGAAATGATATATAATGACATACAAAACGAGTGTTGATACTGATATATAATACTCGAAATATCCTTCTTCCATAGTGCCAAAGGAACTTGAATATATAATCCGTAATTTAGTGTACATAATCGGCCGGTTTGTTAAAATTGGGCGAGGCCTGACCTAGTGAACATTTAATATACGGCCATGCATATACACTGAAATAAATGCATATCTATCAGTCTAAAAATGCATATCTATCGTTTAAATAGGCAGATAAATGTGTGTAAATATATCTGATATATTGATATGCATTTATTTCTGTGTATATGGATGTCTGGTTCGAGCCTCGCATAATATCTCAAGTTGGTTGACGGCACAGACAGAGCAGCCAATGACAGTTACCAACCCTACGGTAATTAGTGAATTCAGTACCTAACGTACCAAATACCTGACTCATCCAACCACTAGCTCATTAAATAATTAACGAACGCACCCACTACCTGTGTGATCCAGCCCCAAGCTCATTAATTGATCAATTAATGCACCCACTGCCTGTGTGATCCACTTTAGCTCATTAATCAGTTAGTTAACTCACCCACTACCTGTCTGATCTTGCCTCCAGCTATTAAATTCATCTCTCTCCATTCTCTCTCTCTCTCTCTCTCCTCTCTCTCTCTCTCTCTCTCTCTCTCTCTCTCTCTCTCTCTCTCTCTTCTCTCTCTCTCTCTCTCTCTCTCCTCCATCTCTCTCTCTCTCTCTCTTCTCTCTCTCTCTCTCTCTCTCTCTCTCTCTCTCTCTCTCTCTCTCTCTCTCTCTCTCTCTCTCATCTCTCTCTCTCTCTCTCTCTCTCTCTCTCTCTCTCTCTCTCTCTCTCTCTCTCTCTCTCTCTCTCTCTCTCTCTCTCTCTCTCTCTCTCTCTCTCTCTCTCTCTCTCTCTCTCTCTCTCTCTCTCTCTCTCTCTCTCTCTCTCTCTCCCTCTCCCCTCTCCCTCCCTCTCCCTCCCCTCCCCTCCCCCTCCCCCTCCCCCTCCCTCTCCCCTCCCCCTCCCCCTCCCCTCCCTCCCTCCCTTCCTCTCTCCTCCCTCTCCCTCTCTCCCCTCTCCCTCTCCCTCCCTCCCTTCCCTCCTCCCTCCCTCACTCCTTCCCTCTCCCTCCCTTCCTCCTCCCTCCTACCACCTACCCATCTGACCCAACCCCCTTCCTACACCACAGCTTGGGGAGAGACGCTGAGGAAATACCATTCCACCGCGAAGATACCAGACCCGACGGCGGAGTACCTGAGCTACTACACCGACAACGGCGCGTACCACTACTACAACCCTCTGCCCTTCAGTAACTTCCGTGACGTGGTGCTGGATCTGTACCATTACGCGGTGCAGAACGAGGTCCCCATCAGGTAAGGTCTGTGTGTTGGGGGGTCCTGGGTGGGTGGGTTTGGTTGGGGGGGGAAGGGGGGAGGAGAAGGGAAGGGGGGAAGTGGGAAGGGGGGAGGGAGGAAGTGGGGAAGGAGGGAGGAAGGGAGGGATGGAGTGGAAGAGAGGGAGGGAGGTGGAGGGAGATAAGAAGGAAGGAGTAGGAGAGGGTGGGGGATGGAAGGAGGAAGGGAGGAAGGAGTGGGAGAGAGGAGGGATGGATGGGAAAAGGGCGTGTTGGGGATGGAGGGAGGATGGGGATAGGAAGGGAGGAGGGAGGAGGAAGTGGGAAAGAGGAGGGAAAGGGAGGTGGAGGGAAAAAAGCGTGTTGGGGATAGGAAGGGAAGGAATGAAAGAGAGGGAGGGAGGTGGGGGAAAAAGGGCGTGTGTGGGGGGGTGAGGGGGTAGGGGGGATGAGATAGGAAGAGAAGGAATGGGAGAGAGGAGGGGGTGGGAGGGAAAAAGTGCGTGTGGGGATAGAGGAAAGGTGGTAGGAGGGTGGAGCTAGGAAGGGAAGGAGGGAGGGAAAGAGTGGAAGAGAGGGAGGGAGGAAGTGGGAAAGAGGTAGAGAGGGAGAGAGGGTAGGAGTGGGAGAGGGAAAGAGGAAGGGAATGGGAGAAGGAGGGAAACACATAATCGGAGAGGAAGGGAAGGAAGGAAAGGGGTGGAGAAGCGAGAAAAGAAAGAAAAGAAAGCAAAACAGAATACTGCTAAAAGAAGGGAAGGAGGGAAATTAAGAAAAAGGAAGAGAGAGTCAGATAATAAGATTCATCAACGTTCCCATTCTTCTTTTTAAACATTAAAAAACGTGTTTGGGAATAATTTGTATATTTTTACGAGTTTTATTAACGACAATAATCATTTTTTATGAGAATCGCCTGATCTAGAACGTAATAACTTCACATAATATCTTCCTTTTACAAAAAAAAAAAAAAAAAAAAAAAAATGCATCAACAGTTAGAACAAACAAACAAACAAAAGAACAAAAAAAAAGAAAAATCACAATTATTGATATATATAAAAAGGTGACATTTACGATCTTGGCAAACACGCGAAAATTAAACCTAATGAATTTTACGTTGAACTTGTTTTAGGCACGAGACCCAAGAATGTCAACATATCTTTGGAAATTAAAGAAATTGTGAAGGAATAAAATAGATTTTGATTTGTTTGTTGTTATCCTGTTATTTATTTTAATACGTTTACCTTTTCTTATATTTGGATATTGAGAAGTCAGTTGGGAAAAAACCTGAATATTTTCAAGTTGATTAATGGTGTGTGTGATGGATGTGTGTGGTGTGTGTGTGTGTGTGTGTGTGTGTGTTGTGTGTGTGTGTGTGTGTGTGTGTGTGTGTGTGTGTGTGTGTGTGTGTGTGTGTGTGTGGTGTGTGTGTGTGTGTGTGTCTTACGTGCGTAGTGTTTCTTACGTGCGTGTGTGCTTGCTTGCTTGTGCTTGCGTGGTGTGTGTATATATGTTCGCGTGTGCTTGCGTGCGTGCGTGTGTGTGCGCGTTCACGTCCATGTGTGCGTGTAAAACTGCCTGTGCACATGAAATCAAGTTAAGCAAGCGTGTCGAAAGGTCAGAAGTCGAATAAACTGAGCCTCGAGACGAAGAGGTCGAGCGGGCGCAGAGACCACCAAAATGGCCGCCGACTTCGAGCATCAGAAGTGAATCCGTCTGAACAGCAATTGCGTCGCTCGTTTTACCTTTCCTGTCTTTGTTGGAGGTTCATGTGTGTCTAATATAGAAATCTTCATTTGAATAATTTCTCTTTTTTGCAGTTCAACAAGCTACACACGAATATACCACACACACACATACATACACACAGCACACCACGCACACATCACACACACACACACACACACACACACACACACATAACATACACACGTACACACATACACAACATACACACAGTACACCCATACATACACATATACAGCCATAAATATATATATAGTACACAAAAAAACGTAAACACCCTCATACCACAACCTGGGTACCACCTCCTCCCAGGTACCTCCAGCTGGACTCCTGGTGGTACCACAAGGGAGAGGGCGGCGGCGTCAAGAACTGGACAGCGATACCATACATCATCCCAGACGGTATTGGTAACCTTTATGAAACGACCGGATGGCCAATTATCGCTCATAACAGGTACTTCAGCAGCGATACAGACTACGCGAGACAAAATGGAGGTTCGTCTGTTGTTGGGTTGTTGTGAAATAGAGGCTTGTTGTTTTTTTTGTTGTTTGTTTGTTATTTGGTTATTATCATCCTTTTTTTTTTGTTTTTGTTCTATTTTTTGTCTTGTTTATTTATTCTTATTCATTTTATTTGTTTTTATTTTTCATTTTTTATTGTTATTGTTATTTATTTTATGTTTATGTTTTTATTTTGTTTTTTTTTTTCTTTTTTTTCTTTTTGTGTTTGTGTATTTCTTATTTTCTATTCTTTATTTTTTCATTCTTTTGTCTTTTTGGGTCTTGATGTGTAGTGGTATTACATTTATTTCCATCTAGTTCTCTTTTTTCGTCTTCTTAATTGGAATCAAATAATGCAGTGATGTTGCATTTATTTCCATCTTATTCTGTGTTATCTTCTTTTATCATTAATTTTCTTGAACGTAGAAAAAAAAATATATTTTGCTGTAAGTTCTAAAAGTGGTTTTGATGACGATGCTGGCCGGCTGAACTTGGCCGGAGTTACGAAGAACAAGAACCACATTTTCCCTTTTTTTTTTTTTTGGCTTTTTCTTCGTTTGCTTGCTTTTGTTTCTTTTTTTATCGTTATTTCCCCCCCTTTTTTTTTTTTTTTTTGTTTTTTTCGTTTCTGCTTTTGTTTCTTCTTTTTTTTCGTTTCTTTTTTCTTTTTTCCCCATTGTTCTTTTCCTCTTTCTTCTTGGATTTATTCCCTTTCTTCTCTTGCGCATTCTCCTCCTCCTCCTCCTCCTCCTTTCATCTTCCTACTCCTTTCT